TAATAAATATAATATTTGTAAAATTATTTAAATAAAGAAAGTCAAATTATAATACCATAAAAAATAAAAAATCATATTATATATTCCTATATATTCCTAATAATTTTTAACTTTTTGTTAATTGCACAAATTATGATAATAAAGAAAATTAGTTTATATTATGAAAATAAGAAAGAAGCTTGTTGCAATTACTTAAATTATTTTATATATATAGTTGAGAATAATATAATCTATATAAATCTGTAATATAATTATAAAAACTATAAAAATAATAAGAATATGCACAAATTGTTTCTTAAACAAAATGACATGTGATATAATAAAAAATATATATATGCAAAATTAAGTATATTCATAAAATAGTATAACAAAAATAGAATTTTGAATAAAAGTTAATACAAAAGTTATAATTAAAGAAATATAAAATAATAAATTATTTCTGAAAATTAGATTGAATATTTGAAGATGCAAAATTGAGATAATCCTAAGTCATGGTTATTCATTACAGTATTATATGGAACTGAACAACTGATAAATGAAAAATTGATAGGATCATAATATGGAAAGAAATATATATAGTAGCACTTCTTAGGGGTCATGCCCCCTGGGGCAAAAGGTGGAGCAGAGGGCCTGGGCCCCTCTTGTTCTGAAATTCACAACAGCCAAGAACATGCTATTGCTAAACTCACACCTCCTCTTACATTTGCTCAGCAATGCTACAGACATCTTAAGGTCAGCTGTCACAATTTGCAAAATGCTTATAGTTATTGGTAAATTAAAAAAAAAACTTTTGATATCATCATATTTGTATAAAAATGATCTTTTTACTATTTCATATTTACTGGGTATAGCAAATAGATATCATGGCTGCTTATGAAACTGTTTAATATTAATAACACAAGAAGAATAAATTTATATGTTTTATTATTTTTATTTTACAGAGTTCCGGTATTGGAGAGGCAAGTGTGTACCATGCTCTGGTTGTAATATTTTTGGAATTTTTTGCATGGGGTTTATTAACCATGCCTGTTATCTCTGTATTAAATATCACATTTCCAAATCATACGTTCCTGATGAATGGTTTGATAATGGGCATTAAAGGAATCTTGTCATTTCTTTCTGCACCATTAATTGGTGCTTTATCTGATGTATGGGGTCGAAAATTCTTTTTACTCATCACAGTAGCCTTCACATGTGCGCCGATTCCTCTAATGAGCATTAATACATGGTGGTTTTTTGCTATGATCTCCATCAGTGGTGTCTTTGCTTGCACATTTTCAGTGGTGTTTGCATATGTTGCTGATGTTACTGAAGAGCATCAAAGATCTCCAGCATATGGTATGGTTAGTATCTCATTATTAATTTTTTAAAAAAATTTGTAATATAATAAATAATTTATAATATCTATTTTTTAAAATAAATTTAATTTTTTTATCAGGTATCAGCAACTTTTGCTGCAAGTATGGTAATAAGTCCAGCATTAGGAGATTATATTATGAAAGAATATGGAGAGAATCTTGTGGTTGCATTAGCAACTGCTATTGCAGTGTTGGATGTGTTTTTTATATTAGTGGCTGTACCTGAAAGTTTGCCTGAAAAAGCTCGTCCACCAGCACCTATATCTTGGGAACAGGCAGATCCCTTTGCTTATCTTGGAAAAGTAAATAATTTTTTACGTTATGTGATATATAAAAAAAATTTATACTTAAATTTATATTTAAAATCATTCCAAATTATGAAAAATCATTTCAAGTGAATTTATATTTAAAAATAAATATTTTTTAATTAATATAAAATCTTGCATTCTATTTTAAATAAAAAACAAAGTGTTTAAATTAATTATAGAAATAATATTGTAATTTTGTAGAACAAACAATAATAACATGATTAAAATAAAAATTTGAATGTAATTATGATATTTTAGGTTGGCAAAGATCATACTATTTTAATGTTGTGTATTACTGTGTTCCTGAGCTATCTTCCTGAAGCAGGACAATATAGTTGTATATTTGTCTACTTGACTAAAGTTATGGGATTTACTGCTTTAATGGTAGCAATTTTTATTGCTGTGGTGGGAATTTTAAGTGTCGGAGCTCAAAGTGTCTTAGGTCCTTTAATAAGAACACTTGGCAGTAAACACACCATAATGTTAGGTCTTTTATTTGAAATGTTACAACTTATGTGGTTTGGCTTCGGTTCACAAACATGGTAACATCTTGTTTATAATAAATATTTATAATTTTATAAACTTTTAATTTTTGAAATAAAATATAAGAAAAATATTATATTTATTATATTTTATTGCAATATATTTTTAAAAAAAGATTTTTATGAATTCTGATCAATATTTTTCTAATTTTAAGGATGATGTGGGCAGCTGGAGTACTTGCTGCAGTATCAAGTATCACATATCCTGCAATTTCTGCATTCATATCTATGCATTCTGATGCAGATAAGCAGGGTTTGGTACAAGGCATGGTAACTGGAATGCGTGGATTATGTAATGGTCTTGGGCCAGCAATGTTTGGAGTAATCTTTTATCTCTTTCGCGTTGATCTCAACGATAATTCTCCTTCTCTCCCTGCAAAACCATCTCCATTAGAGGAAAATAATAAAACAGGAACTGCCACGCAACATCTTGATATTATGCCACAGATAGTAACCCAGGTAAATTTAAACAAAACAAATAATTTTTAAGAAATACTTATTAATGATCGATTATTGAACAGTCGATTAATCATTTAATCTAAAATTATAAAGAAATTGATATTTTTAGCTTGTACCAGGACCACCATTTGTGTTTGGTGCATTACTTGTGATATGTGCATTACTAGTAGCTGCATTTATACCGGAATCAAACACAATGCCAACAGGTCCATTACATCATCCATCCACCTCCCGGAGGCCCTCCGGTAAATACGCATATCAGAAATGTACGTTAAAGGTTGTCAGTTATGTTAAAATTCAGATGTATTTTTTGGTGGTGGGTTTAAAATTAAGATTTAAAATTACTTTAAATTAACAATAATAGTTAATAATAATATATTATTATATAATAATATTATATAATATATTATTATATATAATCATTTTTATATAAAATATAATTATTAAACAAATAATCAAGAAATGAATCTTTTTACATTTAATTAGATAGAATCGATATTTTTAATTTTTTAAAATTAAATTACAATTTTTTAATAAAAATAAAATTTTTATATATGATATTTCAATATATTTAATATTATGTGTATGTTATTGAAAAAATGACAACAATCTATTAGTAATATTAATTAATCAAAAATATAAAAATATAAATTCTTATTGATAGATAAATTATTTTTTAATAGAACCCAATATATAATTATTCTATTATTTATTGCTGATAGATTGTAGATTATATTATGAAACTCATATATTTTTATTTGTGATGATTTATTAAATACAAACGATAGAATTGATTCTTAGAAATTTAAAAGAGTAAAAATGAGATTGCTCGTTCAAAAACTATTGTATTTAATTATTAATGTAATTAAAATACATCTATATTTTATATAACATATATACATACATATAATTCAATAAGAATTTTTCGTATGTATCATACGCGTATTTATATATTTATATGTACAAATTTATATTAAAATTTTGTTATAATTTAAGGTTTATCCTTGGATGTACATTATGAAGGAGATAAATTGGGAAGTGGGAAAGGAAAAATAGGGCCGCTGTCACCTCTAGTCGACAATTGCAACTCGGCTGCTCTATAGCTATTGTGAAAAAAAAAAAGAAAAAAAGAAAAAAAAAAAAAGGGGAAAAAAAAAAAAAAAAAGGGGGAAGAAAAAAAAAAAAAAAAAGGGGGAAGAAAAAAAAAAAAAAAAAGGGGGAAGAAAAAAAAAAAAAAAAAGGGGGAAGAAAAAAAAAAAAAAAAAGGGGGAAGAAAAAAAAAAAAAAAAAGGGGGAAGAAAAAAAAAAAAAAAAAGGGGGAAGAAAAAAAAAAAAAAAAAGGGGGAAAAAAAAGAAAAAAAAAAAAAGGGGAAAGAAAGAAAAGAAAAGTACCTTCATGATGAAACTCTCTATAGTTAGAGAAATGGTTACTATCAAGTGCACCTGCTACACACAGACTTTAAGAAAAAGAAAGCTGTCTATATTGTATTATATTATATCTTTAAGTCAATAACTGAGATTGATATTAGGATTATCAATCCATTTAATGTTTAGGTTATGAGAAGTTTTTACGAGCAGTGCTTGTTTTGATGACATTTAGGTTGAATTGAACATTACGTTCGATATTTTTTTAGGAATTTTGTTATATAAAAAGTTGAATTTTCACTTTTTCCAAAAGAAAAAAATTGTAATATTAACTTGTACCAAGTGAAGCATTGGATATCATTTATCAGTGACTCCTAGTTTGTGTAGTTTGTCGATGCGATAAAACGAATGAAAGTTGTAATCAGTATTTTTTATTAGACTTATAACAAAAAAATTATGTAACTTTTTATGCAAAAATCATTTTTTATTATGTATAATATTCATCGCTTATTAAGATCACATAAGAGGCAACTTTTTTAATTTAGAGAAGAGCACTTGTTACTTTGATCACAAGTATTATGAATCTTCAGTTTAAGATATTTTCTATAACACTTTTGTGATTTGGCAAACAAAATATTTATTTGCGTTTTTTGTTTTATTTTTTATGCATTTCTTTGTTTTAAATATATTTTTGATTTAATGAGGAAAGAAAAGTGCAATAGTTGCCGAAGAATGTTAAAAAGACGTTGTAAATGAAACTTTACATAGCTGAAATAGGAAATAAGTTTCCAATTGCATATAATATCTAGGTAAGAGTTAGCTGATGTTTGTAAAGTATGTTAACTATTTTCTTTGCATAAAATATTTATTTTAATAATTAGACATCAACAGAATAAATGGCCTTAATCAAAAAGAAAAAACAATTTATATGAAATTATACTTTGCCATTTGAGTGGTAATCTTGATCGATAATGTTACAAGCATTATTAATTGAGTGCTTAATGGCATTCCTCAAATGTTAAAATATGCATGTTATAAATTGGAGTCATTGATGTTAACAAAATACAATAGCGTAGTATATTTGTGCATTTTACTTGTACTTTATAAAAAAAATTAGTATCTGCAAAACTGTATGTGCATTGCCATAGCCTAAATAACTCTCTGAATTTGAAATCTGCCAATGAATTTTGATTTTAATCTAAAATTTACACATCATTATGATTTTATAACACATTGTAAGATTTTGAAATGAATATAGTTTCGTTATTTATATTTTTTTTCAGTTATGTATACAAAGTTGCTATCATTTATTATGGATTAATTAACAATAAAAGAGCATGCTCAAATCCATTGAAAAAAAGAATGACTAGTAGCAGAAATTCTATTCAAGAGTTGTAATATTAGAAAATAGTAGGAATTTATGAAATTATGGTGCAATGCGTGAGCAAAAAATAAAATTTTGTATGATCTCATTTTTCTCCAAGAATAATATTTTTTAATCAGAAAAGATGTAAATAAATTGCACTATAAATTTTTTTTTGTAAAAACTCGAATAACTAATCAATTTGTATGAAATTTTCGATTAGTATTCCGTTTGGAATCAATTCTAGCATTGAAAAAATGTTATGCATATCGAAGTATAATCTTCTTTTTATATCACTCTTAAGATTAATTGTGGAATAAAATTCCATTATAATTGTACAATAAATATATGTAAAAGAATTATTAAAAATATTGAGTCTAATAATAAAAAAAATATTCAATAAAAATTTTGAGAATTATAATAAATTATTTACATTAGATTTCTTGGAGAATATAGATACCACATGCAATAATTTTATATTTCTGCTTAATTTGAAAAATATTTATTAAAATTTGCTCTTACACACTGAAATACATTAACATTATTGTAATATAACATTGCAAAAGAAACGAAATAATATAAAAAAGTCCAGTTTAAGACTTAATAACACCTCAATAATTGTATATGTACAATGTATGATGGATGCATTAATAAAAATAATTATTTTTAAAATATAAGAAAGCATGTTCTATAAATATATAAATACTTATATTCATTTGAAAATAATTAAATTTAATATTTATATAATTATTTTATAATATGGTCGTATTTCGATATTTTACTACAATTTTGCTTATAAAATATTCTTAAATATTTTATGAAATAGTTGTTAATATTGAACCACTCTGTTGCCAAGATTCAATTGCTTTGTTAACAATTACTTCAGAAGTTTCTTCCGTTATCTAGAATAAAAAGATTTATTTAAAATTAATCATTTTTTGCATTTCATATTTGTATGAATAAATATACATATATAGATATTTTCATACATTAGCAATTGTATCTAAAATACCATCAATATTTTCACATCTCATTAGAAGTCTTCTTAGAGTTGTTAAAGTAACTACAGTAACAAAGATTAAAATTCTATATGCACCTACAGCTATTTTATCCCATATTCTGTAATAAATAAATAACATACATTTTGTGATATATATTTTTTTATTTTAAATACATTAAATATATATACTTTGCAATAGAACCATTGGATATTGTTCCTGCAAAACATGAAGAAAACCAAATATCATATGGAATATTATAAAGTGCTTCTATTTTAACAAGATGCTTGTATAATTCTGGATCTTCTCTTTCCAACAAAGTACAAGTACATTCTTGTAATCTATTAATTTCTTTATGAAATCTTTGTACTTGATCTAAAAATCCACATAAAATCCAATATGTATCTACAAGCTTTTCTTCATATGAATCTATGTCAATAATGTGCCACAGTGTTTCAGCCATTCTATTCATTGCTCTAAAACAAGAATAATTAATAATGAGTACAATAATTTAATAAGTTATGATTAATAATTATATTTAATAAAAAATTAAAGACCTATGTAGAGGAATTTCTAATTGAGTATTCATATCAAGTTTTGCTCTTCTAGTACGTAATAACCACATAGTGAGAAACATTAAATGAGGTTTCGTATAATCATCTAAAATCTTTGCAATTTTTAAAGCTTTTTGTAGATCCTGAAATTCTGCTTTTCTTTGATTTATTATAAATTCATGACTTTCTACATAAACTGGTATTATATCCAGTAATACTTTCCAAAGAAAATTTCTATATATAGCAGGAACTGTAAATCGTAAGCAGAACTGTTTCAGTTTTGCTTTATCAAAAGGATGTTCTTTAAGTAATATTTCCAATGATCTTTTTTCTTCAACGCTACGAAATCCTACCTATATTTTAATTATATAATTAAATAATAATGAATAATATACTTTTAATTATTTGTGATATTTTATTTTTTTCTAACCTAAAATCATAAGAATTGTTTAACATAAATTTAAATATACCTTTTCATAATAAGATGAACGAAAATTTCGTTCATCAGTCATTTTTTATCAATTTTTAAAATTTATGAACAATTATTTCAAATCATTTTTCCGTATTTAAATTGAAATATTTAGGAAATATAAAAGATGTGTAAATGTTTTTACGTATCTTTTTTCTTGATTTTAATTTTATTTTCTTGAAATGCTTATATTTATCAATAAATTTATTTCTTATTATATAAAATTGGATTCGTATAAATAATAATATATAAATATGTACAGCTTAAATATCTATATTACAAATAAAATATACAATAATATATCTAATAATTATAGGGAGTTTGTCCTCTATATTTTGAAATCTGATTGTTTAGTAATATATCAATAATTATAGGGATTTTGTTATCTATATTTTGATTATATAAAAAAAAAAAGTATTTGTATGCTTTCTATAATTTGGACAATACGAATATAAAATAAAATATACAAGTATTCAATTCAATTATGTTGATAAAACAACAATTTTTAATAATTTCTTTGATATTTTTATAAATTATATGTATATTTATACATTATATGTATTGGATTCATAGATAACTAATAGTAAATAGTAAATAGATTTAAATATAATAAATATAAATATAATAATATAATAAATTTTAATAAATATAAATATAATAATAAATATAATATAAATTGAATTATTTATGAATTAAAAATTACTCTCATATTTTTTTATTACAACACAATGAAAATAATATTAATTTGAGATTTTTTTATAAAAATA